AATCCCTCACTCAACTTCAGGCGACCAAGTATTTCCGCGTGTGGGACAGTGCGGGCTTCCATGAGCTCTAGCCGTCTACTGTATCTTGCCTTCCCGTGTCTCTGTGATATCCCCAAGCCACAGATAAGATGGCTTGTATGCTCGGCATATTCTGTGATGGGTACTACAGCAGCAGCACGGCCACGAGAAAATCCGTAAGTACGTTAGCGCTTCCGAACAGCAGCTGCAAAGAGCTTCCACCTGAAACAAACGATTCGACATGGAATGGTTTCGCAGTTATCTTTCTCGATACCTGTAAAAAAAACTCCGCCCATGCCCTGTAAGCCCTGCATAAAAACATCTTTTGCACTGCAGGGTCGGCCCACTGGGAGCTCTGCGGTTGACGTGGCACTGCGACGTGCCAGGGGACCTGAATCTCTCCCCAAAGGGTTTTTAAGCTTAAGTCACGCAGGATTAAAGTCCCGGGCATACAGTTCTGCCACGATCAATGATGGCCCGCGTTCTGCGCAAGGCATGCTAGGAGTACTCTGGAGGATGGGCTGGATAAAATTTTAAGCAGCCAGGTAGGAGGAAGCTTCGGTGAAGCTCAGGTCAGATTCATGCCGGCTGTAGAGTTCACACCACCTGATGTAGACTTTGGAGCTTGACCTCAAAGCCTTGCACACCTGCAGATTTCGCCGGCGCTGAAGGCAGGAGCTAGTTCTTCTGAACTCCCTGCCTTTCGTGAGGATGCGCAGCTTCCAACTTACCAGCTTTGGAGCGGTTGGTTGTATAAGATAGGCTTCAGGGCTTAATGTGCCTTACTGCAGCCGAGTACGGAAATTGTTGACTTGTACCGCCTTCTGCGAATGCCTGAGGTCCAATCTCGATCCAAACCCAAACCAAAACCGAAGCCCCTAAACCCTAAACCCTTAGGGTTTAGGGTTTAGGGTTACAAAGACCCAAACCCCTGAAACCCTGAAGTCTGAACCCTCGAGCCCGCGGAAGCCCGTAAAACTCCTCAAAAGCCCCCTGGCTAGGGCCTAAACCTTAAAGACCTAAGTGGCTAAACCCTTTTTGCAGCAGGCTTCTCTCGCCCGGAATTGCTATTTAAACCCTAAACCCTACACCCCTAAACAAACCCCTTTTGAAACCGGACTTGACCCTAAACAAACCCCTAAACCCCTAAAGGCCCTACAAGCCCTATATGCAACTGCAGCCCTGGCCTCCGCTGCCTCGTAGGCCCACACGGCCGCGCTCCGAGCCAACTCCTCAGGGTCCCTGAGGCCCCGCAGCGGCAGCTCCTCCAAGGGAGGCTTCAGGGCTTGGGCTTTTCGGGTTTTTGCCTCCCTTTTTTACAAAAAGGGAGGCTTTTTTGGGGTTTCGACTCACACACTCGCACAAGGCGGGGTTTAGGATTTAGGGTTTCGACTTTCGACTCTCACACTGGCTTTTCTCCCTCCTGCATAGCAAACACCGGTTTAGGGTTTAGGGCTTAGGCTTTCTGTTTAAGGTTTTGGCTTGGGGTTCAGGCTTTCGGCCATCAGCTTTGGGTCTTGGCGCCCACTGCCGGACATGCCAGAAAGCTTCCTGGCGGATTTTTGTTGGAGGTGAAACTCTCTAGACTCTAAACTAGGGGCCCCTTTCAGGTCCCGAATATAGTACGACCCCCTTATAAAAAGGCCCCTCCAAAAGGGACCCGCATGTTCAAGCTTGGAGGGTTTCGCCCTTGGCTTATGTTTATAGGGTTTGGGCTTTTGGGGCTTCGACTCTGGGGCTTCGTTTCTGGTGTTTATGAAGGTTGAGTGCTTGGGGTTTGGGGTATCTCTTTTTGGATCAGGGGCTTTCAGGTCATTCGGGCTAAAGGGTCTGTGCTTGGGGCTTGTAGCTCTGGGTTCAGGTCTCCCTGAGAGCGACCTGGGACCCTCACATCCTTGAAAAGCTTCAGCGCCGTGCCGCTGGCGTAGCCCAGGCCGCAGGCACGGAGCTTAGCACAGCAGAACCATGGGGGTTCCGTTTCGTAGATGACATGCACAACCAGTGATAGCCGATGGTACGGATTTCATTTGTCGACCGCTGCACACATAGCGTGATATCCACAGTACATCGGCAACTCTGATTCAGTTGTGGGAGATTGAAGCCCAAGATTCGCGTGTCAGCTGGGTGGTATCCGAAAAAACGGAGGTTGTGTGGCTGTTGCATCTGCATGCACCTGTTCTCCAGTCGCAGGCGTGTTCCTCCTAATACAGATTCCGCAGAGTACAAAGCCATGACTCCATGAGAGATGTGCTGATGAACAAGCAGCAGCATCACCATCGTGTTGGCATCAAGGCTTCTAGCAAGCATGAGCAGCATAACATCTCGTAGCCATAGCTGGGAACAACAGAATAGCAGCAACGAGACAAACGAGGACGGCAGCGACGACGACGATAATGGCGATGACAACTTTGCACATTTATTCATAAGCCCAAAACCCTAAACTCTTTTCTTACACCTGGACTATGCATATGCCAGGAACCGAGGCGCCGACTGTGGGCCACACGGCTACCCACATTGCAAAAACTGATCAACTGGTCATCCCAAGTTTCAGGATGCAACGACCATGTGGCTACAACTCCAAGATCCTTAAAGATTCGGGATGTAATTGCAGGGATACCAGGCAACAGCACATCACCCCAACGAGCACTGACGAGGACGTCGAGGCTAAAGAAATTCCGCGAAGCCTTAAGAAGATGTAGAGCGTCAACAATATCAGACTCAATGCTAAGTACCATGGAGCCGTACTCCGGGTCCAGCCAGGCCATGAAAAGACAGCCATTGCAAGGGAAAGAGTGCCACAGACAGGTACCACGTGACGCACTCAGAGCTCTAAACCCTTTTTGCAACTGGCCTGCTGCGACTAAACCCTAAACCCTGAAGCCTAAACCCTAAAGGATAAGCCCAAAGACCTGAAACCGTCGGGGTGGGTCTTCGGTTGAGTCGACGGCTGCGCTGCGGTAGGCCGCCAGGTGTGTCTGTGCTCGTTGGCGAAGCCTAGAGCTCTCTAAGGTTCAGGCTTTTTTGGGTTTACGGTGTAGGTTTTAGGGGTTTCAGTAAGGTGTGGGGTTTAGGCTTATTTAGGATTTCGGCGCTCACAGTCGGACACTCCAGGAGAGGCATGTTCTTATTTTTTTCAGGCATGTTCTTATTTTTTTCCCTGCATGTTCTTATTTGGGGTTCAGGGTTTCACAACTGGGTTTAGGCGTTTTTGGGGCCTAGGAGGCTTCAAGAAGCCGTCGAAGTTTAGATCTTTCCTTGTGCACGCGCAAGTCCGAGCACATGCTAACTGAACGAGTGCACATGTAGATCTAACTTATCTTTCACGCACACAGTGACACCGACCAGGTGCATGCGAGCAGGGATGGTCGCTGTTGTTCGATTGTCGTTTGGCGAAGCTCATGGATGACAGTTACATCTCCTATGTACAGTACAGATGTATGCACATTCGACAACATGTATGCTCGACAGAACTTGCTTTTTGTTATTTGGTATAGATGTGTTGAAAGCCGCTTCACGAGTGCCATCCGAGAAGCCACGGCCCAAGCAGCCGAACAAACATTCGGAGAAACACCTGACCCTGGACCCATCCTGGAGTATACAAAGCTTTCGAGACAGTGCGTTGCTGGCTAGTCTGCTACAAAAGGCTTTGAGCCGGGGTCCAAACTTGCACGTTGGGATTTCTTGCTTCGCTCTTGCTTAGGCCCAGATGCATGAGCTGAAGCATCCCGAGGCAATGCCTCCAGGTCTCCAGCCGTTGAAGCCTGAATTTTGGGATTGCAGGCTTACCGCTTCTCGGTACATAACAGAGAACCCTAAACCGCAATAAACTTGAATGTGAAGTGCTTTCGTACAAAACTCGTACCCCTGAAACTGGGATTGCTGGTTGCCAGCACACGACCCTGCGACCTGTTGCAAAGGATCGAGAAAAACGAGGCTGAATAAACCGGCACGAGACTTTCAGGGCTAGCGGAGCAGCTGTGAGAACAATGACATTCCGGACCCAAGCATTCCAAGCCCCAGGCCGTACAAACTCTCTACTCCAAGGATCACGGGACCTAGCAGTTGGGTTACGAGTTGTGCTTTCCGCGAGACAATGCTAAAATCGAGTGTTGACTCTACCCTACCGGCAACCTCCTCACGAAATCCCGTCAACCTGCAAGTAGAGCCCTACGTCCTGACATTTCACGTCTTCCCCGAAGGATTGTCAGCGACTTGCAATTGCTGGGACGTCCACTGTCAACAACCCAAGACCGACTCAGCTTCTTGTTGTTGATAATTGCGGTGAAACCATATCAAAACGGCTAATTTGGGTGCTGGCAGTGCCAGTTCCACTGCATTTTGCAGTCTTGCTCACACATGCCTACACTACTATACGACAACTGACACTGCTGTTTGCTGGGGAGCTCCGCCATCGCACCAAAGAAAGCGACGGTATCTCTCGAGGGCCGACACATCAACCTCATGGTCTGTGGGTAGGCGTCTCGGGTTTAGGGACTGGGTTTGGGATTCAGAAGCTTGATCTAGGTCTAGGTTGCTTGCCCGAACTAAGACTCAAGGGATACTATTGGATAAAGTGCTCTCGGGACATCTCACTATGGGTTCCAGCAAGCAGCAGCAGCTCCCAGCAACCCAACAAAAACGGGCTCCAGGGCCAAAGGCGCCAGGGCACAATCTATAGAAGCTGTGTCGTACCAACATGTCGTTCTGCTCCTTGTTACGGCTAACAACATATTTTCCTAGGTTATCATAGCATGTCATTTGACATCTTCGCCTGCATAACCCCGAAATACGTTCGTACCCTTACGCCTTGATTCCGAAATCCCCCTAAACCCTCGAATCGATCGCACCTGTATCCTGCCCCCCCAGCTCTGCATTCAGCTTAATCCTTACAGCCTACAGCCATACATTCCCATACCCTTGGAATCCAGCCACCTAAATCCCTACCTCACCCCAAACCCTGATACCATCCCCGGCCCAGCGGCCAGACGAAGGACTGCTGCCAGGACCGAGCTGTGGCCGCAGCGGACACCAAGGCATTGTGGGCACTGCCATGAAGGGACTTCCTTGGAGGATCGTTCCCACAAAACCCCAATAACCCCGAGGCAAGAGGCATTCCTTAGTAAGGGGTTCCTCAATTACTATCCGGGCTTTGTAGGTTGGCTGCTGGTTTCTTTGCCTTCCACGCGGCTCGGTCTGTATCCGCATGAAAAAGCGTGGGCCGAGGGGATATTGGGCCAGGGGAGCTGCTGCTGCTGCTGTAGAAGTGGGCCTTGCGCCATGTACCGTCTGCCCAGTCACCCCAAGACCGAGCAAATGCAGCTTGACCCAAAACTTCATCGAAATGAGTGGAAGCATGCCGTCGCAGCTCAGAAACTCTTCGTGTACATATGTTACATGGAATGGAACACCCACACCTGCGCATTCCAATACGGGCTTAAGCATATGGCCTGAGTCCTAAGTGGGGTTTTAGAAAGCTGGGGGCCTTATTGTATGGTCCCTTGGAATTATTACCTTACTCCATACTGTTCTGTTTAGGGGTCTTCATTTGGGGTACTGAAAACCCAAAACCCCAAATCCCGAACCCTCAATATTTCCGGCCCCTTAACCACCGAATAGCTTTGGACAAGCGTTCCAGACCCCCCACTCCCGCCTTCAACAAACGAAGGAAAGACAGCAATACTAAGATGAATTATTATACTATCGTCGACTATCATCATCATCATCATCATCATAGTAAAAATCATCATCATCATAATAATAATAATGATAATCAGTATTATAATACCCTTATGTACCTCCGAGTCGCTGCACCGCAGGCAGCGAAAGCAGTCTCTTCCAGGCGCCTGCAGTCGCGGCGATGGCGGAGGCGGCAGCAGAGGGTCCCGGGTCCTTGTCAAAATAGGACTTTCCCAAAAATTAGGGTACCTTATTTTGGGGTCCTTAAAATAAGGATCCTACTATTCAGGGTACTATATTAGGGTCCCGGGTCCTTGTCAAAATCTGTTGGCAGTTTGTTTGTCTTGCTTCCCCAATAAGCCAGGGAAATAAAGGTTAAACTTTCAGATTCCTACTAAATTATAAGAACCCAACGAGTTTAAAGGTTGGGTCTTGGGGAACTAAGTGGTTCAATTGGCCCTTGCACGATTGAAACTGTAGAAGTGTGTTTATGGTGCAGAAGGGCTTGCGGAGATTCACATCGCTTCGAAGAATGTGTCGTTGTCGGCATGGCAAAGGCTGGATCGGGGTCAAGGAGCATGTGGAAGGCTCTCATGTCCGCCTACTGCTCCGTGCTGCAAGTGGGCGAATCGAAGTGCCGTGCTAGGCTGCTAGACTCTGCTAGACTTCCAAACGGCCGGTGCTTGGCGACTCCCCGATGTCTCGGCCAAGGCAGTTGGACACTCCCAGCCTAAAAAACAGAATATACACGATCGACATCCGTCAACGCACGTGACCACAACCGAAAAAGCCTGAGATAAAACACCTTGGGCCACACACCTACAGCCCCACAGCCCCACAGCCCGAACACGCAACTCTTTGCCAGCCAAGGTCGATACCACAAGCCTGGGTGTAAACCAGGAGTTGAAAGGTGTGTTCCCACAGGCCGCAGTCTCCAGCAGCTGAGGTCAGCTTCGCAAACCCTGAGTTCTCCGTCTTGAAAGGCTTCTTACATCTAACTGCTAATGGACGACTGTACGACCTTCCTACCACTCTGCATGTACAGCATAGACAAGGAGCAGGTACCCACGACAAAAAGCATGCTGACGCCGCACCGTAATGGGCACACGTGACTCGTGACTTCTGAAGCAATGGCACACATGACGATTGCACGTGTATGAAACAAAGGACGACTCTTGCAGACATTGTGGCATCTGTTCCCTGCCGGCAGCTACCCTAGCATGGCGTTTCGGGCAAGGCATGCAAGCCACGGTTCGAGGCGAATCTGCTCGTAGGCATCGCATCATCATGCTTCTCAGAAGGTTCTGTGCTTTGGGCCACCAGGAGACACGGCTGGCATCCCGGATCGCTGCGTCCAGGAGATTCGCGTCGAGCATGCCCTTGTCCACCGATTCCTGGACCAGAAAGCATGCCGACTCCCACTCCTGGGCTGTCGAAGATGACCCTGCAGCAGAGGAGAAGGTCGTCGAGTCCTGCTGTTGGGAGAACTGGCAGAACAGTTCCAACAAGCAACAGGCTATCCTCCATGAGCCTTTTCCGGTGCAGCCGCCCAAAGCTGCGTTGATCACGACTGCATTGGGGCCTGTTTGGCACGTTCCGCCTGAGCGGAGGGCGGAAAGGCAAACGTCCCATGCGTGCTCGCTTGCATAGGCAGTCGTGGTAATACCTGTCGAGATGAGGTCCATCTCTGCAAGCCCCAGGCGCATCGAAGATGCTATGGCCAGTGCCTGCCGCCAGTCGCCTGGAACCAGCTGAGACATCATGGCGCTGTTGTAAGTGATAGTGCTTGGCTGCAGCCCTTCTGCAAGGATGTCGTTGAACAGTGCAGTGCTGATTGGCCACTTCATTGCACGAATCGCCGAGTTCAAGGCGGTGTTGTAAGAAATTGTATTTGGCTGCAGCTGCTGGCGGCGTGATTCTTGCAAGCCGCGCATCGCTTGGGACCAGAAGGTCTTCTTGTTGCTGCAGCTGACCACCGTCCCGAAGGATGCAATGTCTGCGACAAGTCTGACCGCTCGAAGTGCTCCGAGGGCGCTGAGTGCCTGTGACCACCTCGTGGCCCTCTCACATGCGGAGATGACAGCATTGTGGAGCAGAGTGTCCGTCCGCACAGCCAGGAGTTGCAACTGCCTGATTTTGGCCAGACTTTCCTCCCAAGCATGCTGCCGACCCAGATCTCGGATGGCAGTCGTGGCAGTTGCACATTCTTGCGATTCCTCGGGTCTCGGCAGCAGCGTTTTCCTTCCATGGCGACGAATTCTCCCATTAAGTGACACGGCCGCTGGTTGCATAAGGAAATCCTACGAGCTTCAAAAACGGCGACACGGACGTCCTGCCTCATCTCAGTCCCGGACTTTTTTGTTTACAGTGTTACAGCACTGATGTGCCGAAGAATGCAGCATCTTTCCCAGTGGTAGCATTGATCGGTAGTCGCTGCAACACTCGAGGCTATGCCCCTGCAGCAGGTACCGCTCCCTTCCAGCCATAGGCTGCTGGCACAGTCTGAACGTGTGGCCACCCGGTGGCTCTCTGGGAAGGGCACCTACCACATAATGTGAGACTGTCAACCCAATTTCAGCGAGCGAAACTTGAGCTCGGATATTAAACAGAGCTACAAACCCAGGCTGTCGGGGAGAAGCCCTCACCTGCAGGGCTGGGCCAGCACACGTGTCCTTCTCGAGGACAAGCACAAGACACAATCACTGCTGGGACGCACTGATACAAAGGATATGATCAGGGGATGGTCTGGAATCTGATGGAATCTGGAAGCAGCATATATTGGGCAACGGTTTGGTATCATGTCTTACTTCCACTGTGTTTCTGCTGCCGTCATCTCGGGCTTAGAACCACGACACACACACACACGCAAATGCAGCTACTGCGCCACAGTAACATCACAAAGACACATCGTCACCATCATTGGAATCAACGGCAGCATCAGCATAATCATCTGCGCACGGTCTCAATCTTGAGCCGTCTGTTTCATGAACCCGGGGACTTGTTTCTGTCCAATACTCCCTGAAGTTGTCAACCTACTCGGCCTTTAAGTGTTTTGCACAACACTTCCACGGCCCCAAAGCACTCTCAAGGATACTGGATGCTCTCGAGGTGTCCGGCTCCCACGAAGTTGGCCCAGCCTTGCTCCCTCAGCCTGCAGATTTGTTAGGCATTGTCATGACGTTTGATGGCTGCCGTGCATGCGAAAAGCCTCTAGGAGCCTTCGAGCAGAGGCTGGCATCTGGTGTCCCCGTCTTCCGGAAGAAATACGCAAGCCTTTGGGTTGTTCTTGCTGCCCCTGGCCTGTTTGGTCGGGGGGGTGGTGGGGTGAAGGGCGGGGGGCTGCGCGTTAGATCACTGATCATGCTGAAACAGCGGTGCCAGCATGGGACGGGACACCAGCTGCCGGAAAAAACCGTATGTGCACGGTAGTTCAGGTACAGTAACAGGAGCTCTGTCACAACGAGCACTTCCATCATCTCGCTTCTTCAATAACCGGCCCAAAAAAGTTCGAACTACCAAAGATAGGCCTGTCTTCACGTAGGCCTAGTTAGCTGATGTTAGCCTCAACTCGATACTTGGCGACGGTGGAAGAGCTCGCGCGATAGGCCCGCTGGAAGTAGTCTGCTGTTACGCTGAATCCTTTGGCAGCGCAGCGGGAGGCCACTTTCCACTGGCATTGCGCGAGCTGTCTGGCAAGGCCTCACGAGCACCGCTTGCTCCGATGTGCAGTGGGCTTTGGGCCTACGAGGATACTGTAAGAGCTAATAAGGATACTGTACCAGAGGGTGACATGTAAATGTCAAGCACAACCTGGCATATGGGTCCATCCATCATCCACATGATTCGAATCGCCGTACACCATGCCTACCCTGCTCTTCCCGGCTGTCAGTGCGACAGCTTTCCCAAGGGATGCCAAGGAGTCCAGCTAGCAGCTATCAGAAGACGCAACAGCGGAGCAAGACAAGCCGTCGTACAACTTCACTGCCAGAGCTCCTCTTGTTCCTCAATTTCCCTTCACCCTACAATCAACAATAAACCCTCAAAAGTATCTAAACCCAAAGCCCTAAAACCCTCAATCCTAAACCCCGCCAAAAAGCCTGAGCCTCTAACACCTAAATTCCATGAGTTTGAAATAGGGGCGGTGCCAGGCATCGAGTCAGAACGTCTCTTCGAGCTGCGGCACATCCTCTTGAAGTTCACCTGATTAGTGCTGCAGAGTTCGGGCTCCAGAGGCCCAGTGTCTGGGGCTTTAGGCCTTTAGGGTTGAGGATTTGGAGGTTTCTGGAGTTCAGGGTTTCGGCTTTAGGGTTCCAGGGTCCGTGTAAGACAACTTCAGGACTCGGAAGTCGCGTGGATGCTTGGGACTTGAGGCTAGAGCGCCTGGCACAGCCTACCACTGTTGATGATGCAAATCCTGCGTTACCTTAAGGGCCCTAGAGGGCCCTAAACTATGGGAACTATGGCATATGTATTCCTTATTACATGTTATGCAGGATTTGTGTCATCAACCATAGGAAGAACTGGCTGTTTGTTTGTTTTTGCAACTGCGCACCGAGCGGCTAAGATCCATGACTTCGTCCTCCTTGCGCTTGAGCTTCTTTGGAGGGCTTAGGGGGCATGCCAATCCGGCTCGTGGGCTAATGTGAGTGTTACAGTAGTACCACAACTTACTGCGCAGAATTCTGCCCTAAACCCGACGACAAGTAAGTGTGTGTGTGTGTGTCATCATCTGTGAGCTGGGGCTGGGTTTGGGCCTGTGCTCCAGGGTCCATAGACATGGCGGCTTTTTAAAAAGGAGTGTTGTGGACTCTAATACGGGTTACGGCAAAGGCTCTATCGTGGTAAGGGCTCTTGGAACAAGGCCGCAAGCGATCCGGGCAAACCGGATGTTCGCCACAAAATGTTTTCGGATGCACTCTTGTGGCAACCTGTAGCAGCCAACTACACATAGTAAACTCAGGCCACAAACCCGACCCTCATTGAGCCCCAGAACGAGTGAAACACGGGTGACACCGAGACCTCGGTCAGACCCGAAGAGACTCGACGAGAAGGCAAACATCCCAAAGCTTCAATCCTCCACCGAGCCCGGAGCTTTACACTCTAGACTCTTAGCGTTGACACCCGCGGACGCAACCCAATAATCTGATATGGAGAAACACAAGGCTAGGATCAGCTGCCAAGGGATTTCGGTGTGTCGACCTCAACTGTCTGAAATTGGAATGATTGGAATGCAAGTCTGGAATGCAAAGACAGCTTGGCGATGCAGGGGAGACTGCTGCAAGAGTTTCGCCTGCCGACCCATCTTTACGACACACCTCTAGGCAGCGCCTTCGAGATCCAGGTGAGATCCCAGGGACAATTCAGCCAGTTGTTGAAAAAGACATCAAAGCAAGGTAGCCCTGACAGACTGGGGTCCTCGTCGTCCTCCTCGGCTTCGTCGTGGCCATCCGAGCGTCCATCGATCTCCTGTCACGAGCAACAGCTTGAGCCGGGGCTGGTCGCCCCCTTTGATGCCTGTTTCCCTGGAACCACAAAAGCGTTACCCACAAAGATGAAGGGTGACTCTAAAATATGTGGCTTGGGCTGGCTTCTCATGCCACGCTCCAAGCTCCAATGGCTTCCCAACAGGCAAGTATGGCCTCGGTAGAGAGGGGTGAGGCATCAACAAACATTTTAAAAAAGATCAAAAATGGTTAAGGGATCAAACAACCGATTCCTCAATTGATAAGCAACATAAAGAGGAGGTAGGCATCACAGAAACATCCAAAAAGACTTTAGGGATCCAACTAAAACGACTCCTCTTTTGTATTCAAAATAAAGAGGAAGCAGCATGATGCGTGTTCCAGGTGGAGGGCTTGCCCTCCGTTTGCTTCCAGAATCCCGCCAGTGCATAGGGGAGAACATTTTGCCAGTCCAACAGAACCCGGTAGAACTTGGGGTATGAATCTGTCTGGGAATTAGGATGTTATTCAAAATCAAGACGGGCTTGAATCTGAATTCAAGTTTTTCTTGATTCTGAATATCAGCTAAACCCATCTGTCTGGCCGTGCGTGAGAATCTTGGCTCCGTGCGCGGATAATTCGGGTCTCCTGGCTCTGCTCCGGAAAGCATTCCGGCCGCGCCCGGGTGTGTGTGTGTTTTTATTTTTTGCTGGCATATATTTCTTAAACACGACCCCTCATTGGGCGATTCCGGTTCATCATGTCTTAAACATGCTCGCGGTTCCGGGTCATCATATATCTTAAACATGCCCCGTCGCTTGGCGATTCCGGATCATCGTATATCTTAAACACGCCCCCTGATCTGGCGAGTCCACTTCTTCATATATATATATATACATCCATACATACATACATACATACATACATACATACATACACACACACACATATATATATAACACGCTCCCTCATACCCTCATTACATTCTTGACATGCTTCGGGAGTCCCGCCAGTGCAATTTGTCAATCCAACAGGACCCGCTAGCACTCAGGGAGAAATCCTTCTGGCCGTGCTAGTCGTCTCTAGCTATTGTGGCTTCCTCCCCCCAAACACACTTACCAATGAAGGCCATGCACAAATCAAGAAACAACGAATAGTTGCCTTGAGCACACGGTTAGCGGTTAGCGGCAGCGTGCTCTCATCACTCTGGTGGAGGTCACTTCTCGTATTCTCATATTATGTTCCCATCACGGCTGGCGGCACTGGTCTCACTCTCTGTTTCATTCTGTTTCAAACAACGGGAGGGCCGCGTGAGCTGCAGCTTGGTGTGGAAGCGACTCCATTGCAAACGCGAAAAGCATTACGAGTGGAACTGGAACCCGAAGCTTGGCGAGCCCCTTTGAAACCAACAGCAGAGCTGACGGTATCCTTTTCTTCTTTTTTTTGGGGGGGGACTATCGATTTTCAATACGAATGAATCATTCTGATTCATTTTATCTCTGCAAAGTATGGCCTCCCACATGATAATATAAGCAGTCGCTCATACACATCCGCATCATCAAAATCCTCAGCATCATCACCATAATCGTCGTTATCATCCTGAGAAAACGCACGACATGAAGCTCCGGGAATGAAGGCTTCGGCTTGATGGTTTGCTTACTTTTAGCAGAGACCGCATGGGCCTAAGTAACTAGTTTTTTTATAAGGCAAATACCTTTGCAATTACTTAGGATCCTTAGTGCTGGACTAACTTCTCTGTGGTGAGTTGCTGGTCTTTCTTTCTTTCTTGCTTCATTCGTTGTTGTTCGTTCTTCTTTCTTCATATCTTCTTGTTTTTCTTTATGTATTTATTTCTTTCTTGTTCTCTGTCTTTCTGTGTTCTTTCTCTCTGCGCTGAATTGCTGTCTCTTTCCGTCTTTCTTTCTTCTGTAATTACTTGTTTGTGTTGTCTTTCTTTCGACCTGTTATCTTTGCCTGTTTTATTTGCTTACTTATTTTTTTTGTTTGTTCGTTCTGTCTTTCCTATGTTGTTTCTTTAGTTCTGTCTGTCTTTCTTTGTCTCCACACTCAGTTGCTGTCCTTCTTTCCGTGTTTCTGTTTGTTGTTATTTATTTCGTTATTTCTTTCTTTGTTTCTTTCGTTCTTTGTTTCTTGCCGTCCTCCTTTCTAGATTTTGCTTGGATCAGTTGCTTTTTGTGTTGTTCCGTTGTCTTTTGCCTTGTATTCTGCTTTTGAAACAGGAATGGCTTTTTTGATGCCGTAAATATTTTTTAAACCCCTATCCCGTAGAGAGTGTGCACACAAACTCCTAGTCTGTTACCCTCCAGCCAAGCTGGAATGCCTCCCGCAAGGATTCCATGCCGCAGTTGGCTGGAAACCCCGAACTCTACAATGACCCCATTTTCAGCACCGACTGAGGTGCCGGCCAGCGCCATAAACCCTAAACCCGAAAAAATCGAATTGACTAAACCAGACTCTAAACTCTATAAGCCCTAGCTAGTACTCTACGAGTAGAAAGCGCAACTGAAAGGGCGCCTGCACGTGCGGCTCTACGTCCAGTGTCACGGACTTCTGGACGGAAGCTCTTGCGGCCGGCTCCTGAAAGGCGGCGCAATGGGGCTTTTTGGGGGCTCCTTATTATTGTTATTATTATTATTATATAGTATAATATTCCCCCTCATATAGCTTTTCTTTGAAGCTTCGGAGCCCATCTGAGCCATGAGGGTGTCTTTTTCCCCTAGTTAGGGCTTTTCCCTTTGGGTTTAGGGCTCAGGATTTTTTCCACCTAGTTTGGGTTTTCCCTTTGGTTTTTGTTTCTCCAAGGTTTTTTTCCCCTAGTTAGGGGAAATTGCTTTCGGACAAAGCCCCAAACCTTGGAAGCAAGCAACCGTGGTGCGCTGGTCCTGTTTCTCCGGTTCATGAGGCCCTCCTCCTTGCGCTGGCTGCCTTTGTGCGCTGGCCGAGTACACGCTGGATTTACGGCCACTCGACATGGAGTCAAGGATTCAATGTGTTCGTCCCCACTGTCTCGAAGAACCCTGGGACAGCACTGCCGTACCCTTTTTATCAAATGAAGAAAGACTTAAACCTACGGGCAAGGCACATCTCCGAGGGGCTTTCAGCCTCTCCCGAAGCTCCAGCCGACTTCCGCTTCCACTTCCAGGGCTTCGAGTCCGGTTGCCGCTCTTCGCTGGATGCTGGGGTCGGAGTCTGCGGGGGATCGGGCGATGGAGCTGCAACAGGTAGGCTGGCTGTAACGGAGCTCTGGCTTTCAGAGGACTTCCTCTGTTGAGGCGGCGTCTCGGCGGGGGTTGCCACCTGAGACGGCGTCTCAACGGGGGTCGCCGTCTGAGAAGGTGTCTGAGCAGGGGTCGCCATCTGCGAGGGCGTCTCAGCAGGGGTCGGTACCGAGGAGGTGTTGCTGGGTGGCGATGCCCGCTGCGGAGCAGCAGCTGGCGGTGCTACCACCTCAGCCTCCTCTCCATCCTCCCCTTCCTCCCCCAAATCCCCGTAAGACTGCAGGAAGTTCGGGGACATGGGCGATGTCGGTGAACCCGGATTGGCACGCTGGTATGGAAGGTCACTGCTTGGGGAAGCGCCCGCGCTTTGACCACTTGGCCGCTTTGGGGTCCAGGCCACCTCCGGGATCGTCTCCTGCCTTGGTTTGAAGCTTTAGGGTTCAGGGCTTTCGGGGCTTTTGGCATGTAGGCTTTAAAGTTCACAGCTTCAGTTAGGGTCTCTTGGGGGATTTTGGGCTGGCGCTTCTCAAGTCACAGCAAGCACGGCAGGTCGCGGAGTCGGACTGTGGGGCGAGCATAGCACCAAAAAGAGGAGTATCAGTATAACGGGCTCAGTGATACCCGTGATGTCTTATGTCCAGCATCATGTAGCTCTTCAGTCAATTCACAGGACTGAAAGGAAGGTACATGGCGCTCCAACTACTGAAGTCCAGCACAAGGTCGACAGCGTTCCTTCACTGCAAGGTCTCACACTCTACTACCTCACTTCAGACGGACAACGTCAACAGCCCACACTACCACACTACAGCACGCTGTTGCGCAGGACATGCCATGTTTGTTTGGATCTTGTTGTGGCCGACAGCTCACAACGATCGCAGGACACTTCATGCGATTGTTGCATCTCGTGCCACAAGCAAAGCTGCAGCACAGGACAAGTGCAAGCGAACCTTGAACCCACTCGCTGGACCCGAAACCGAAACTCAAAATCCATTGCCCCTTGCCCGGTTTCCTTGTCTACTGCATGCGATCTTTGCCAAACAGCGACAATGTGATCCCTGAGCCTGTCATAAGTCAAGGTTGAGTTGTTCATGTGTCCCTTTTCGAACACGTCGGTGGGTGGGGAAGAATTCTTGGGGAATCGGATTCTGCAAAGTACGGTTTGCATGGAGACCTGCATGGGCCGTAAATCCCACATGCTCTGGTAGGGACAACCGACGAAACATTCAGCTTTCTTGTCACCGACACTGTGAACTTGCAAATCCAATCCTGGCATTGAGTCATGGCTTGCTTGAAACCCTGCCAAAACCCGATGATTACTTCAACGGAGCCACCCGTTGAAGCCGTCGGGGCGCAGCGCCACCGCCTTTGCATTTGTGAGGCCATCAAAGCCTTGAACCTGTTTTGGATTCTACATCCTACGACTTCCAACATCTTAGTTTAACTATAATAAGGAACCCGATCAAATAGTATAGGTAATTCTTTTGTTAAGGCCTCTATATTGTCAACACTGCGGCCGGACGGGTTTTGACAGCCTCCCTGGCTCATGCTTTTAAGTTCGGAGCTGGCAAAGGGAGCCCAGGAGTTCGCGGGTTTGTCAGCGAGAACTCAGGACCATCCACGAGCTTATGGTTTAGAGTTCCTTTTTTTGCACGGCCCTAGGGTTTAGAGGTTTAGGGAAGAGGAGGAGGTCGACACAACAGACAGAAGAATCGCAGTCCCGAGCATCGAGGCTTCCGGATCTTGAGGGGATCTCGTCCCAAAGCCCGAAACCGTGACCCGATACCTTGAGCATCCTTGAACCCCAATTAATGAATACAATACCCCTAAACCCTAATAGACCGAAGCCCTTTAAAAACCTGTTGCAATACCCCATAAACCCTAACAGATCGAAGCCCTTAAAAACCTAATGATGGAACCCTTTTGAAACTGGACTTGATGACTGCCAGCACTGCCTCCTCTGCCGTTATGATGGAACCCTCAACCCTAAACCCTGTTCTCGAACAGCCGCACTGAGGTCGACCAGAGTTGGGAGCTTCACGAGCCATGCGATATCTGCGAGACGTACCCGTCCTGGAGCTAGGATTTTGAGGGATTTGGGTGTTTAGGCTCTCGCAACTCGGACAAGCCAGGCGAGGTTCCATAGGTGCGAGTCGGCGTGAAACTAACACCAACAGTTTGATTAGGGGGTTTCAGCGCTCACAACTAGGACAAGCCAGGCGAGGATTAGGGGATTTAGGGTTCACGGGTTTCGGGGTTGAGGTCGAGACTTGGGTATATTAAATAAGGCTCTAAGTACTTCACAAATTGAGAAGGCTTCTCACTTATGGCTGGTGGCATTGCAACTTTCCAGCCGCCATGCACGCACGACCAAACGTGCGCACAACGACCGAACCCCGAAAGCTCCAAACCTTGAAACCAGAAAGTTCCACTTCTCATAATTACTCTTTACTATTATTATCATTATTATTATTGTATTAATATTTATTACTATCATTTTCCCACCTGCCCAGCTGACAAAGTCGCACCGCAGGGAGCTCGTTCAAACTAGAAAGACACTCTCGAGGAATTCCTCCCCTGCGTCCTGGAGGATTAAAGGTATGCCCTCCATCTGTATCCAAGAGGTCGAAGATGTTTGTAGCCTCTGCCAGTCCCAGAGAGTGTCGTGCGATGTCATGTGAGAAGAAGTAGCATAAATATCATCCTCTAAGAGCTGCACAAATACAGCTTCATAAAGCTGTCTCAGCTCAGACTGTGGCTTGACTTGGTTGTCGTCGAAAACTGAGTAGACAAGGTACACAGTATATACGGATACGGGATAGGCATGCAGACACAGACGGACAGGTACACGTATTTGCGAAGCTTTGTGGCTGACCATTCTGAAGGCGTGGGCTAACCACCCTTGGCATACCCTCGTCCGCTTCCTGATTTCTGGACTTTAAACATAAGGTTCTCAACTCTGCCTCGGCCACAGAAGAGAGCCCCGAACACATTTAAAAGCATCAAAGCATCACAACAGGTAAAGACCCAAGTCCACCTGCTTCAGCTCATGTTTGCCTCGTTCGCTGAACGGCTTTCCTTGTTGTGGATGCCTGCCTCGGTGGCAGAAAAGCCGAGCGCGCGAGTCAGGATGAAGGTGAGCTCCTTGGGACGGATGTGGCAAGTTCATGAGTCTGTCTATCTGTCTAGCTATCTGTCTATCTATCTATCAATCTATCCATCGATATCTATCTATCTATCTGTCGGGACTGGGGCCGTGGGTATCTGTTAAGGTTTCCTCTCGCATGGCTAGGAAAAGACCTTAATTAATGCGCAGGGGCCCTAGTCTATGGTTTCGGGCATGAAGTCAAACGGGGGTATGTCTATTCTTTTGAGCAGCGCCAACACGGGAATAATGAGAACCCCAAAAATGCATCGGCACACGCAGTTCTGCCCCAGCGTTGGTAGACTCTAGTAGACACTTCGTCCGAGCATATCCGAGCCATGCAGAGCGATGAGTACAGCCGTGTGGTTATTCCAAAGAGCATCCGCCACCACGACGAAAAAACAACGGCAGTGGCTGCAATGGTAGCAGTTATGGAAAAGACAGCTCAAGACAACACTGTCGGCAAAACCTTGCCACGTGCTGCGTCGTCGTGGCTGGAGGGGAAGGCGTAAAAGGACACACTACCGATAATTACAGGCACCTGTAATTAGCTCTGACAACAACAAAACACAAGAGGACACTAATACCAGCGATGGTCATCGAGTCATCAGCCGCTGATACTTATATTCTCAAAGGACAGCTTACTTTCTGAGTAGACCGGCAGTAAAATCCATCTTGAAGCTACTTTCGCAAAGGAGACCCGGGTCCATAACAGCGGCCAAGTGTCATTGACAGCAAACCTGTCAGCCATGACTGGCTGAACATGTTGGGTCATCTTCTGCCACAGATCCTGTTGAAGCGAAGCAAAGCCCTCGTCGACATACAAAAATGTAGGATCCCCATTATTAGTTTATATTCCCTGCTTGATGGAACCCAAGGCCAGTGTCCTCGGCGGTAGCTTCCTCAGATGGAATGTTGGCAAGCTTCAGAAGCCTGCGCACTCGTAACGTAGGAAAGGCCACTGCAACATGAGGTTCTTACCGGCATATGATCGAAGATCTTCCTTCATCTTGCCATCTCCAGGATGACCCCCTCACACTCTCTGTGCCACACCTGAGTGAAAAGTGCACGCCCGCCTGGCACGGAAGTTTGCCAGCATGCCTGGCTTCATCGTGGATTCTTGATTCGGTGGGGAGTTTGGGGAGCAGGCTGGTCAGGCCGGTGTAGATAACCCAACCCAGTAACAGCTCAGAAAGTCAACAAAAGTCAGATTGGATTAGGCCAGCAGCTTCAACTGTTAGCATCTGGCTGGGACAAAACACAGGGTGACCGTGCACAACTGGCGAAGCTAGAGTCGGAGAAAAAGAGGCCACACCTGGGTGTTGTCTAACCGGCAATAATAAACGAGGCAGAGCTTAGGAGCAGCCAAGATGCAAACGGACGCGCTGTCCATCTCAAACAGCGAAATGCAGCCAGCACGTCCCACATCCAGCTCCTCACAGGCATGTTGCCAATCTCCCAAGGAGAGCTATGTCGTGTGTTTCTGTTCGGGCAAGACTCACGGGACAGGAAAAGCCAGCCAGGAGCTGCTTACTGGTAACTGCTTAGCAAGCAGCAGAAAAGCTTAGAAAGGCAAAGTAGATAGATGCACCGCTTCTCCATGCTGCAATATGCAGCAATGTGCCGCCACTTGGACATGTTTATTGATCGAGATGGGCCCTCTAGTTCCATAAAGGCCGCATTCACCCCGAAGCCGGATGAGGCAAAGAGGAACACATCATATCCTTAAGGATGGGAGGCCTGAAACATGCTCATTCGCCACCAGAATCCCCGACAAGAAAATAGCTTTTGCCAGGCTCCTGCCAGTATTCTGTAGAGTGCTTCCAGCACTTCACCTCCTTGCACAAGTTTCGGAACCTGAGTTCTCAGCTTGCAGGACCGTTGCGCCGCCTCCACGAGATAAGCTGTGGCACAAAAAGCCTGGGTTCTGACTCCTTTCCTGATACCTAGTTGTTAATGCCGTGCCTTGCACGTGACACAAGAAGCCAGACTTCCTGTGGCTCTCGGAACCAAGAGAATAGAGCGATTGAGGGGATCCCAAGTACTTCAGGGGCATTTGTCGCCCTACGAAATGTGTGTCTGTGACCCAAGACGCGAAATACAATACATCTAAACCACGTAATTGAGCTCTGAACTCTAACCTCTTTGTGCTCTGACACTACGAATAACCTGAACGCCACCTCAAAGCCGCAAAACCCAAAGCTACCAACCTAACCTTGTCCGGCCGTGGACAGTGGATGCATCTCATAGTCTAATGCGGCCGACAGCACTTGGCGAAAGGAACCACTCGCGTAATGCCGAAATGCCTGCAAACAGTGCGTGTCTTGCAGCACCCGGAGCCTAAACCCGAAACTCCTAAACCGTTTAATGCGGAGAATCTAGAAATAAATTGCCTCGGCGTGATGAGCATACTACAGCCGTTGTGATCTGGAGTGCTACTTTTTTCCGAAGGGGGGTTTGCAGTATCAAGGAAATGGGAGCCTAACGCGCTCGGACGTCCGGCGCTTCAGGCCGCAATGTGGCTTGTGAGCGTGTTTGTGAGTCGGTATAAGCGATCGAAACTTAATGCTTCCGGGTAGGAAGCGATCGTGTCCGATTTGTGTCCCGACAGGGCTGCGGCTGTGCCCAATCACAAAGCTTGCTTCAGGTCTGTCTGCTCTCCCCGGCACGGCTTCCCAGGTGACAGTATGGAGCAGCTATGCATGTTCTGAGGCTCGTGAGCCACATGCCTTGGTTCAGAAAAACGTCACCGCGATTCACCGTATCGACAGAATTAGACTGCCGCCCTGTGCAGGTCAACCCTGCTGTGCCAGCTGGCATCGCGAGTGGAGGGCACTACGCCTGACAGGAAACTTACAATACAACGAACAACACCTTCGAAACCATGACAGTGCAAGCAAGCCCACCTCACATTCAATCATCATCTTCAAATATGTTCGGCCCTTCTAGATTCGCATCTGCATCGTCGGCAGAAGGCGGTAAACACGTCACACGGGTGTTGGATCCGGCAGCACGACGAGTGAAGATGGAGCGTGGTGGCACTCATCTGTGCACCACTTTGCGGCTCCACAACGAATGCAAGCTTGAGTTACAGGTGCAGCTTGAAGCCTCTGAAATCCAGCAGAAGCAAGTCGACAGAGCTGAGGTTGATTTCATCGGGCAGGATGCCAAGGAGGGGCACGTAGTACGATTGCGATTGCGCAACCAATGAATGCCCCTCAATCAACCCGGTAGCTGCTCACAGCTGGCTTCCCTCCTCCGACTCCGACTACTACTAGACCCTATCAAGCTGAAGCTATGATTATGCTCGGCACTTGCGCGACCACTACCCCGACATGTTATCGACAGGGATTCGACGTCCTCATCCCTAAAAGCCCTAAACCCTAAACCCCTATAAACCCTAAACCCAAAACCGTCGAAGAAACGCTTGGGTGTGAACTGGCCTTCTCCAAGCTCCCAGCGCAGAGCCGAAGCGACGACTGATGTGCTTCCTGACTTCGCTTCTTGGAGGGTTTAGGGTTCAGGGTTTCTGAATTGCTTCTTGGAGGGTTCGTTTTTTTCCACCCGGCTGTTAGTAGGTTTCCTGACTTTCAGGGCTCGGGGTTTTGATTTTCTGGATGTGGGTTTAGGCCAAAGTTCAGGGATTTTGGGCTTCAGAGGGAATGGGTGGCTCCTATGGTCCAATAGAATGGCAACCCTCATGGAGTGGCACTCTCGCACATGGACATCGAAGAATGCGAAGCTTTAAGGCAAAAAATCGTTCGGTTTACCGAGTTACTTGTGCAGAATGAACTGAGTGAGCTTTGGGTTGGTCGGTGGTGGTTGAGGGTACCACGGGGTGACAGAAATTTAACACCCTCACCAAAGGACCCAGAAAAAGAGCCTCAACCCTGAATAACACCCTCTAAGTTAAGTAGCAGGCTAAGTCAGGCATCCGTGATTCGACATTTCCCCCACCATATCGCTCACGGAAGCCAAAGCGAGGGTCAAAAGATGCATGCAGCAAAACGACCCAATGCCCATGAGCAGAAACAGCCAGGCCACTTAAAGGCTCGGAGCTTGTGGCTCATCTGAGGGGTCTCCAGCACCTCCCCCGATTGGTAAGCTTCGTTGCAACTTGCACAGGGGTTGCAACCCCTAAGACTGCTTCTTGAAGGCTGTAGGCTTGGCGAATTGTCGAGGGTGCTGCTCGCACCGAAAACCCCACAACGTACAAGGCTTTTGCATGTCGAAATATATACACACATATGCACCCAAGCCGGCCGGCATGCCCGACTGCCTACGACCATTTTTCACACTCACACATACGTAGATAAATGCATGATTCACCAGTTCACTTTAGTAATTCTTTGTATCAATGCGCATAGCATAACATAGTGTACAAGAACTCACGTGAGACCCGATACTGACACAGTAACTTGTGGTTCGGTACAACATAGTAAAATGCAATACGGTATGATATCATGGTAGGGTATAAGAAGACATATTATAGTACGACATGCCATAGACATGCATGGCATGTGTACATGCATGCACACACATACACATACCCACACCCATGATCACCCATCTAACAACTTTCTATTCGCCGTCATGCAGCTGTGCATTGCGGGGCAGGACACGATCTACGACATGGCTCTGCGACGAGAAAATCCGCCACCAAACGAGCTCATGTGCATTTCCAAAACTGCGTACAACTCCAGATTGCCTGCCGCGTGCTTCCTGGAACCCTGAACCAACCCCCCCCCCACCCCTCAAACCCTAGACCCTGAACCAAGAAGACCCTGCACTTCCGTTAGCGTAGCTACGTCACGTCCGGGACAAGCACCCAGCGGCAGAGATGCTCCATGCAGCGGGGGTTCTTGCTGGAGTAGTGCTTGGAGATCCTGAGAGATTTCAGTGGCAGACAGCCAGATTGCACGCATGCCTAATCTTAACCGTCTTATCCTGAAAACCTTAAGTTCGAGCAAATCAGTGCTGGCAACTCAAGCCTACATCCTGCCCCGTCAGCCTTTTGAGTTGTCAACTTGCAGCCAGGGGTCTTCCCCAAGAGCTCTTGCATCACAGGTTCAGCACGAGCTCGAGCATTGTAGAAGTTGATCTCTTCGAGGCGAACTTCCTCGGAGGCTTCAATGTATAGTGCACCTGCTATGGGGGCCAATTACGCTCAACCCCAAAAGCGGTTCAGACCAAGTCTTCAGCTTTACAGCTGCATTTCGATGTTCTGTTGCGAAGCTGGCTACTTGACGACAAGCAGCACAAACGTGGGGCATCTGGCCGTCCTCTGTCTCCACCTCTGCTGCACAAAGACAAGACTGAGGGCTTGGGGCTTTGTCCTTGACCCGTCCTCAAGACTCTAAATATCCCCACGGAACGTAGCTTGTCCATCCTATGGCCCGTGCCTAGCCTCCAGGATCAGCAGAACCTCCACGAACCTCTCTCCCGTCCGGCAAGCAGTCCTGCCGGTGCTCAAGCGAACCGCGACTGCACCAGCTGGCTGAAGAAGCAGCTATGCATCCCACGCCAAACTTGGATGTTTCATTGTGCCGGTGTGGTACTTCGTCTACATGCACTGGTCGCTAGCCGTTAGCCGAATGTGATCATCAAAGAAAGCCTCGTGTGCAGGAGTGCCCTGCTTTCAAATCAATTCGCCAACGAAATCCAGCAGGCGAGCCTGAACTTGTTCCGGACATCCACCACCTGCAAGCACAAACTCAACACCCCGCTTTACTTACTCTGCCGTCTCAACCTGGACCAATCATGCGAATGGTTGATCAGCCTTGCGAGTTGAAAGCACGCTATCGCAGCGAAGAGCACGGCTCCAAAACAAATAAAGCGGCAAGTTCGGCAAGACATATTATACTTGAACATCTGATGGTCTTGGGTCTGCAGTTGTGCAGACTTAGTGTTCAAAACTTAACTAAATCTGTTTGCATGCAAACGTTCCGCGGCTGCTGAGGCATGTGTCAGAAGGTCAGAAGACTCGAGCAACTGGCCTCGAACTGGCTCAGAATCAAGTCCAAAGCATCTTGCAAGAAGTCGCCTGAGGGGGGACCATCCCGGCACACACAAGTGCCGGATTTTTTGGCCGCAAGCTTGGGACCTCAAGTCTCTTGATGACATTACATATCTTGAGGTCTCGCTCAATAGCTGCGAATTGCAAGGACGGTCCATCCGTCCCTTGATTACCTGCTCTTACATGTTGGGGATGGAGCCAGCCAAAAAAGCACTGAAGATAAGCCTGGCTTCACACCCTCAACCGGTGAGGGGCGGATCTTTCTGCTATTGATCGTAGTGAAGCACACGAGATGTGTGAAATCACACGGTGGACAGTCAAACCAACCGGGAATTACAGTTGTCGTCGCCGCAACATCTCGGCAGTGTCCAATCACAGTAGCAGCCAAAGGTAGCGACGGCATCTACGGCGAGCGGTGCTCAATACATCTTACCGTCAGAATAGCTCGCACGAGGGAGGTCAGAGTGCTGGCGAAAGTCGAGCACCAGCTATAGATCAGTCAGCATGGACTAGCGAACATGCGCACTGCGACGCAACACAGCGATGTGCACGGTGACCAACACATGGTTGAACACATTTTGCTTTGACGGTGTCCCATCGGGAAAGGTGCAGCCAAGCCGCAATTCTGAAAGACCAAGCCGATTCGCGCCATGTCAAGCACATGACGGTACCTCCGCTCCGCAACGTGGAAAGGTTCCGTGCGCCATGGATAAAATTCCTGAAGCCCCAACACCCTAAACACTTGAGGCCTCGACCCTAAACCCTTGAGTCCGAAAGCCCTCATAGCGAGTAACGTCTTGATGAAACCCGAGGGTAACCCTGAAGGCAACCCTTAAAAGAACCCTTAACGTAACCCTTAAGAGAACCCCTAACATAACCCTGAAAGGAACCCTCAAAAGAACTCTTTCAACGCCTCAAAACCCTCGGAGATTTAGCGTCCGTGCCTTCGTGCATCCTCAGCCGGGCCGAAGCGCACAAGGGCTTTCCTTAGGCAGAGGATCAAGGGACCCGGGTTTAGGGTTTAGGGTTTAAGGGTTCAGGGTTCAAGGGTTAATGGTAAAGGGTTTTAGGGTTTAGGGGTTAGGGTTTAGGGAGGGCTACAAATTGTCTATATTTCATTTCGGAGCGCACACTCGGACACTCCAGTTTATATTTCAGGTTTGAGGTCATACTAAGGGCTATATGTTGTAGGGCTTATACGGTTTACTTAGAGGATGCAGGGACTTAGTAAGCAGGGTTGTAAATCAGGCCATTCCAGATATACCTCCTTCTAACCCTAAACCCAAAACCCTAAAGCCCTAATTACTACCGGACTTACAATCGCTGTATGAATCCCCATGATCTAACATGTGGGAGATGTGATCTACAATAACTGCTAGATGCTAGATATATTTTAGACTGGACAGGCTCTGTATAAGTATGTATGTATGTGTATAATATATTTTTATATATAATTATATATATAGAGAGAGAGAGAGAGAGAAAGAGGGAGAGAGAGAGAGAGAGAGAACTTATAAACGATGCAGGAGAGGGAACAAAAGGTTGAGTACATGAATTGAGGGGCGGGGCCAGGGAAACGAAAGCCAGCCTAGGCTGGAGGAGCGGCAAGCGATACAGAGCTGGCTAGGCGGGCTCCAACCATCATCACATCCAACCACATCAGCAACGGAAGGCAAACAGAGCTGACGCGTTGGGCAATCAGCAACGGAGGGGAAACAAAGCTGGCGAAGCGGGCTCCATCACCAACGTCGGGGAAACAGAGATGGCCTCAGCACCTCCGGCACATCCAATCACATCAACAACTCAGCAGGGACGGGGGGCCTTATTGATCGAGATATCGGGGGCAGGGGGGCTTTGTGATCGATGTATCAGTTTTGCGTCTGGGCTGGTGGTCCCGGCCCACTGCTTACGCAAATAGAAACGAAAGCATCGTTACGCTACTGGTAGCTTTCGTGATATATGCATGGAAGCAAACGAGTAAGAGTGTCTAGCTCCGCAAGCCCTGCCGAAGAGCCTTGCGGACAGTCTGCAAAGTACAACAGACTCACCGATCCCAGATCATGCAGGCAAAGGCCGATTATCAACGAAGGAATCCCGGTGTGCATTCCAACGCAGCTTCCCAGAGACATCAAACGACTTAGATTCGGGCTCGTTTACCATGATCCAAAGAAAGGCCCGACTCCACTGGAGCATCACGGATCGGGTCCGTGCAAAATGAGAGTTTGCAGCCTGGCTTCGTGTCGGCGGCCTCTCAGGCGGCTCGTGCCAAGCCCCAAATCAGCTTCTAAAGTTGACACGGCATGACTCAATGACTCTTAAGCATGCTCCCACGTCTATGGCCCCCAAGCCCCGAATACTCAAACCCAAAAACGATTCACCAGACAGGAGCCCTCTTGCCACATTGCCTGAAGCCCTCTCGAACCCATAACCCGACATGAAGAAATGTCATCACACTATACTATACATGTGGGAAATAAGTGTATGCATGTATGCGTGCATGAGTGGAGGTATATGTACATGTAAGTGCGTAGGCGGGTGTATACTTGGATATACACACCCGTATAGGCCCAAATACATGATTCCGGTCTGCCGGATTACTTTTTCTGCACAAGTCCAGCAATGTTTCATTTATCAAAAGATTCATATACGTAGATGTATATATATACACATACATACATACATGCATACATACATACATACATACATACACATACACATACATGTGTGTGTGTGTGTAAATGTCGCGTGCGTATGTGTGTATAAATATATACACACCTATAAAATGCATGCATACAGGCATGAATGTATGGCACATGCATGGATGTAGGTTTGGCGTGGTGTGCATACATATACATATACATATACATATAGATATACATATACATATACATATACATATATACACATACATTACATCACAATACATTACATGACAGGACACGACGTTACACTACAATACATAAGTATAAATATAAATACATAGTTATATATATATATTACATGATAGTATATATATATATACCGTATTGTATAATAAATATGTAATAATGTAAGTATATATATATACGCATATATGTACATACATACATACA